CCGCCCCCTCCGCCTCTGCCCAGCTCTGCGCCTGCGTGGGAAGCCGGGTCCGCACGCTTGTAGAGGCGCGGGCCGTTTCGGTTCATTTCCAGCCCATCTGCGTTAGGTGGTTGGTTGAGAAGCTTTGCCAGCTGCCATTCCATTCAATCTAGTTCAGTTCTGCAGACTTAATGGAATTCTTTTATTAAACTTGCAGGCTTTTTGAGTGCTTTTCTTAAAGGCATTTCTCTATTAAGATCTTTACATTGTATTGTAACCTACAGGCCTCAGCTAGGATTTTCTCCTCCCTGTTTTCTAGTTTACATCCCATAATAATAACAGTAGCAGGGAATCCACTCTTGTCCCAGGTCTGCCCGAGACAGTCACGCAGTCAGAGGAGAGAGATCAGGTTTCCCTGAGAGAAACACCTGTGTATCCTGGAGGCAAGGATTTAAACACCTGAGTACTGGCCCCTACTAAATTACATTGTGTATATTAAAACTTCAGAGCGTACCTATCAATCAATAAAAAAATCCTAACTGCTCGATTCTGAGACACAGTTGCACGAAGGAGAATTCTACATCAGCTGTCCAAAGAGTAGGCCTTCTGCGGTATCTGCCCACCACCTATTGTGGCCTAGAGGCCAGCCCCAACTCGGGCTCCTCCTAAACTTCTGACCCACCAGGACTTTATTCTGAAATACCCCAGCCACAAAGCCAATGTCGGAGGAAGACAACACCCACAGACTCCTGTCCCCTTGAGCTCCCATTTGGTCACACTTGGGGTATACGAAACATTTGGGGTCTGTTGCAGCACAACTGCTGAGAAGCCTCTGGCTAGGGAGCTAAGGAAAAGTTATTCAGGGGAATACTAGAAATTTCAAACTGGAGAAACTATTATACATTAGATGTCCCAGATAAGAAGACATCAATTATAAGCCTAAGAATTAATTAGTGGTTGACAAGTAGGAGCCAAGACCCCAGGGGATTCTGCACCATGGCATCCAGCCTCCCTCTTGGAGAGCAAGAGCTCCCTTTTCCCAGGAGGGCATGATCCCACCTTCTCTGCCTCCATCACCGACCTGCCTGCTCCCTGCCGGCTGGCCCTATTGCTGGGCAAGCTGGCTGAACCCTGAGTCCAGCAAGTCCGGCTTCTTTAACCTTTCCTTTGCAGGTCCAGCACCACCCTTGAGGGCTCCCAGCCTATTCTGTACTCTTGGGTCTGAGTTGTTTAATTGCAGCAAGGCGCAGGGCAACTATACCAAAAAGGCTGCCATTTACTGGGGAAAAAAATCATTTCCATTAACTATTCTTGGAAGTAACATGGCTGTAAGGTTGATTCCCTACGAGAGGAAGGCATATTTTGAAGCAGGCGTAGACCAGGAGAGAAATTCCCTTTTCCTTACCCTTCTTTTCCTTTCCTTTCCCAGTGAGTCCCAATGGATGAATTCAACTTATTTAATTTACTGGACACTTACTGGCAAGGCTCTGTGATTATTAAGATGAATTAGACACAAGCCATTTACCCTGAAGGAGTTCACAGTCTGGCACGTGGTGTTTATGTCCTCTTGAAATCCAGAGGACCAAAGGGTGCCCAGACTTCATCCATGGCTACCTGCAATTTACCCCTTCACTAGCCCTTCTCTACCCTTCTACTGAAGCCCACAGGCAAATCCCCTGGAAACATGGATCATTGACATTTACGTTGCAGGTATAAC